CGGAGCAGGTGGCGGAGGCCCAGCTGAGGCTGCTCGGGGCGCTTGAGGCTTATTAAGGCGTTCAGGGCCCTTATCAAGGGGTTGAGGGCGGCGAGGAGCTCCTGCTGTGGGAGTGTGTGGTTGAACCCTGCTGGTACATGCTTGGGTTCGGGCAAGAGAGCAGAAGGAGGAGCAAGCTGAAGCCCCCTCACTTTTGAAAGGTGTTTTATTTATTTATGTGTTTTAAGTTAAGGTGCGGGCGCTTGAGGCTTATTAAGGCGTTCAGGGCCCTTATCAAGGGGTTGAGGGCGGCGAGGAGCTCCTGCTGTGGGAGTGTGTGGTTGAACCCTGCTGGTACATGCTTGGGTTCGGGCAAGAGAGCAGAAGGAGGAGCAAGCTGAAGCCCCCTCACTTTTGAAAGGTGTTTTATTTATTTATGTGTTTTAAGTTAAGGTGCTGCTTTTGGTTCTGAAGGCTAGCAATGTGGTTTAGCCGCTGTCACTGAAAATAAGCAGCCCTTCACTCGCTGTGTGTAGGCAGTCCCTGGTCCGCTCCCTTGTTCTCAAGGGTTGCCCACCAGCGCGTGCTTTGCGGAGCTGTGCTGGTCTAGCTGTGCCTTGGTACCTGCCTGGGGGTACGTAGGTAGGTCACTTCTGTAAAAGCTGCTGTGTGCTGCTGTAGCTTGTTGTGTTTTTCAAACTCATGCGGGTCGCTTCTGCTGTGCTGGAGCGTGGCTAAGTTGTCTGTGTGGTTGTATCCCCGTTTCCCTAATAGTGGGAGCCTTGGCCATATGTGAGGCAATCTTTGAGGAGCCATCTCCTTTCCTGTGTATCTCACAGTAAATAATATTTGTAGTATGTGGAAATTATTCTTGTATGTTACTAAGGGGGGAATTTAGTTCGGCTTAGTCTTCAGTATTGTGTATGAAGCCTCCTGAGTCCTCGTTGTTGCAGTTTTTGTAGCTGCTGTGTTCTAAAGAGTTAACTATAATCACTTACACAGTCTGGTGTTATCTGAAGAAACTATCCCTATTTTTTTTTTTTAAACAGCAAGACCTTAAGAATAAGTTAAGAA